TTGCCGTACGTTCGTACCCATGAGACAGAGGCACGTGTAGGCATGCATGGCTGCACTGTTTGCACTGTCTGCCTGTCTGCCTGTCTGTCTGTCTGTCTGTCTGTATCTGCACGCGCACCCAAATTGCGTATGTCTGCCTGTCCGTCCGTCAGTCCCTGTGTCAGTTTCCAGTCTGCATATTGTCCGTCTGCCTGCCTGGCTGTCTTGCTACCTATATGTATGTATGTATGAATGTATGAAGGTATGTACTCCTTCATGCATATTTCTGTGAGACTTGGCGGCTTCCGAGTTTCATTTGCCACACGCGCTGTCGGATGCGAAGCCCCGAGATTCCAAACACAGTGCGTGTCAACCCTTGTGCCCGGCCGCAGGACCCGGACGAGCCACGTGAACCGTAGATGTCTCGGTTCTTGCAGGTTCCACTGCCTAAAGAGCCCCTGGAAGACTTCAGAAGGGGATCAGGTAGTGGTGGCTCATACCCGACGATGTAACAGTCCAGACGAAGCCGTTTGCATGCGCTTGTGTGGTGCACATAACATGACGCTGGTGGGAAGCATTGAGTGCATGCTTGTGACAGCTGGTGTTCATGCTGGAGTAACTTTAGCTCAGCAAACTTGACAGCGGACGATTATCCATGGTAGTTCCGTCATATACAGTTAGTTATGTACATCTACGAGTACCGTCTGTATAGAAGTTAGTCACAGGCTTGATGATCGAAGCCGACGAACTCGGCCATTTCGATTCACATGCATTTTCGACGTGCTGTTGTTCACACGATCCTTTCTCTTCAGTGTCCTGGAGCCGTGAAAGATGCTATGAAACCCCGTGTATCCTACGTCCTACATGGGAGTCTCCGAAACGAGGGGATCCAAACATAGTACCCCAAATAGTAGGATCCTTATTATGAGGACCCCAAAATAAGGTACCCGTAGTCTTCGGAAACTCCCACATTGTCTAGCCCCGTTCCAATTCTTTGGGTCGCAGAACTGAGCTCGCAAAGTACTTTGCTGTGACAGGTAATATAGGGCCCTAAATAATTACCTATACTGTTTTGGGGGTTCCTTATGATTATTATAGTATAATGGGCCTCAAAACCCTATTCTAATTATTAAGGCCCCTATATTAAGTATGCAGCTCTTCAAAGAAGCGACTGCGTGCCCTAAAGGCCTTAACCCCTAAGCTGAACTGCGTGAGCCCGGGGCTCGACAGTTGTTGTGCAATGAGGCCTCCAGGCGCGATTCCGGTGCCCGGTTCTGGAATACAGGTGGCTGCGGCACAGATTGCAGAAAGCGAAAGGGATGTTTCTGCAATACAGATCCCCAGCACGAGGATTCGCATAAAGACCCCGAAACTCTAGACCCGGAACTCGTTTCTCGGCCTTCTGATCTGTGATTACGAGGCTTATCCTGAGATCTTGCCCAGAAACGATATAGGGTGTAGGTTTTGTAGTAGGGCTTATGGGGTTTGGGGTTTAGGGTGTCAGGGTTTAGGATTTGGGCTAGGATGTCCCGGGCTCTTGAGCGCTTGCCATAATGCGGTGCGTTCAAGACCCCGAACCCAAGACACCAAATAGAGGGTTTAGAATACTTACGAATCATGTAAACCCTAAACCCCTAAACCCTAAACCCCTAAACCCCTGAACCCTAAATCCTATTGTAATCATAAAGGCTCCGGAAGTACGGAGTCACAAGATCCTGAATCCCGGAAACCTGGACACCTTAAATCCGCAGACCTGCGCCCCAAAACCCTAAACCCGAAAATCCTCAAAGCCAACATGCACTATCTGGGTTGTGCTTTGGGATAATTTTGAATTTCCTTTATTTCCTTATAGAGGGAACCTATTCATAAATAATTTTCAAAGGGTTTAAAGCACAACCCAGATAAGGGTTCTATAAAGGGTTCCTTTGAGGGAGGGTCCTAAACTGTTTTCACCTTCTGGAACCCCTAAACCTCTACAGCCCAAACCCCTAAACCCAAATACGGTTGATGCTATACATCCTGCATTACCTCAAGGATCCTAAACTATGGGACTGACGGCATATTCCTTATTATGGATAATGCAGGATTAAAATCATCAACAGTACTTCCCCCTGCTTAAAGCCCAAACCCGCTAACCCTAAACTCCTAAACCCTAGTATTATCCCCTTTTTGTAACATGAAGGCTCGCCCGGGACATATCCCCGGCGCAGCGGGAGCCATGATCGGCGACACTTGGGTTGGAAAAGCCTTGCTTTCGACCCGCGTTTAGAGGCTTTACGGTTAGGGTATTTAGGATTTTAGGGTTAATTGGGCTTTCTTGGATGGTTTCCTATATAGGGTTTTTGGCAAGGGCTTAGAGTTTCAGGCTATGGTGTTGGGTCTTCAGTGCTTTCGAGTTTTATGAAGGCTCACTGTCGGGTCAGCTCTGGCTGGGCAGTGCTTTTCAGATCGAGTTCATTGCCTAGGGCTTGATGTTCCGGATTTAGGCTCTTTGCTTCCAGATCCCTAGCCGTGGATGCTAAGCTCTAGATGCATAGGATCCTCTTGTGTCGGATCAGACAAACTGCTGGCAAGGAAGAGATGAACGACGAGAGCAACTTGCCTGAAGCTTGCCTTCAGGGTCAGGGTTTTGGTGTGTGCCATGGGCAGCATCTATCTATCTACCTATCTATATTTATTTATATATATATATATATATGTATGTATGAATGTATGTATGTATATGTACATGTACACATATATGCATATCTACGTATATACTGTATGTACTCTATATATACTTTATTATATATATATATATATAGTACACATTCATTGGTTTAGGTTTTAGGGTTTAGGGTCTAGGTTTTAGAGGGGAGGGGTAGGGTTTCCTATTCTAAGGCAGCCCGAAGTTCAGATTGCGTGAGACCAGCTTGGGCTCAGGTGACATCGAGGAGCCAGTTCACTTCTGGCGGGGGAGGGTCGCAGCTCTTCGTCTTCCTTCCTCGGGCGGGCAAGTTTGATATCGGAATAGTTAAATTTTGTCGGAAAACTTAGTAAAAGTCTACCCACTCAGTCCTCCACGGTCATCCACGCCGCCGCTTGCGCAATCATGACCATCATCACCGTCAATATTATCGTTAGCTCTCATATCTGTTAGTCCTACTACTATTAATGTTATACTAACTGTCATCACTACTGGATATTATTGGATTTCTCTTGTTCTATCGCAGGCAATCCTCATCATCATCGTCATCAACACCATCACCATCACCATCAGCAGCAGCATCATTGCAAGGCTTATCCTGCTCATTGTGATCAAAATGATGGTCATCACCATCATACCACCTGGATGCTCACTTCCATCGTCACCGACATCATGGCCACCGGCATTGCAACGTGCAGCTTCTTCATCTTCTTCCCGCATTGATACGGGTCCGCCAGAGAAGGAGGAACATACACGTAGTCAGTGTAGACTCGCCCAGATCCCAAAGCTTCGGCGCAAGCACTCCCGAGAGCTCTCCAGGAACTACAAGGGTTTAGGGTTTAGAGCCGGCCTGTAAACCTTAAACCGTCGCAGTCGCATTTGTTGTATAAGTTTTGGGGATTTCATGCCCTCGCTCCACATCGCACACAACGACAAGCCTTGATCTCACACTCGAGAATTTCTGACTTGCAGATTCGCAGTGTAGGTGAAGTTAAACGCAGAACATCAAGCCCATCGTGTGCTTGCTAAATCCAGCCGCTGGTTTGAATATGACTGGACTGGCAGTCCGACTTGGCATGCTCTCATAGTCACCTTCAAGTTCAACATGGCTGTTCCAAGGAAAGTGTAGTTCCCCATTGTTCTTGATATGTAATTGTAAATTGGGTTAAGCATCACCACTTGGCCTTCGAGCACATTCGTTGTGTCTGTGGGTTCGGTAGAACACCAGCAAATGACAAAAACATACCCGGAACTCCCAATACAGCCTATACCCTTGCCATTCTGGCTATTCTTCGTTCGAAGACATGTGGGATCTCGACGCTGGGGCCCTGCAAAGAACAGAATGCTCCGGTTTCGGATTCTGGGCTTATGTAGTTCGATTTGCATATCAGTGCCGCGCTCTTGCGTGAAACGATTGATGCTTGCCTGTTTGTTGTCTCGCATTTCTGTGGTAGCATCAACCCTGCACCCCTGTATAGTCGAAAAGTGTTCTGAGAGCGCTAAACCTGGAAGCATCTACGGTTGAGTCGCGCCATGTGTCGGCGAGCTCGTACGGGAAGGATGGTTTGATGTGGTTGATGATACAAATCCTGCACTACCTTATAAAGACCCTAAGCTATGGGAATACTGGTATTTTCCTTATTATGGCTAATGCAGGATTTATATCATAGAGATAAAGCAGGCGACCCCTGAAAGCAGTGAGCACACACACGCACATCTCAAATTGGTTTGATGTTGTGTTGGCTTTAGTTGTTTCCGGTAGTTGCGGGCAGCAATAGATACAAAGTTTACATCATTCAAGTAGCTGCCTGCAGAGATTTGAATTCCGGTCTGTAGATGGTCCTTTGAATTATCATGCTCTCTTTCGGCATGCTGGGAGAGGTGCTGATGTTGCAGGTACGACTGTATTCCCGCTTTTCGTGGAGGCTACATGATACCAGATTTCAGATGTCCATGTTATGCAAAGTTATATACACAAGGTGGCTTGTTTCACGTGGCTTGGCACGCCAGCATCAAAAGTAGAATGGAGCCCTAGCTACAGAGCTTTCACATGTCCATACAAGGCTTGTGCCGAGGGCTACCAACATTATGAAGCATGATTTCCAATTTCCGACTCGGCCGATGCAGTTTCAGCATAAATAACTCACATCTAGCTAGTATGAGTCGATAACGCTCGTTGCGTTAGGATTTGTTGGGACTTCCGGCTTGCAGCAGTCTCCGGTAAGAAGTCGAAGATGGAAAGCACTTCTACAGTGAGCTTCACAGCCACGACCGGCTGCCCTTCCGTTCGCCATGTGATCTGATGGCACCGGATGGACCGTGATGTTTTGCGACCATGTGCCATTCGGCTTGCCGCCCCACGGCATACGCTCCGTGCGTGGCCGCTGGCCGGCAAGGACCGCATAGAGTCGATAGAGCAACCATTTCTGCCATGGATTCCATAGATGCTTTGCCAAGACCCCATTCCCCGGGCACAAAGAAGTCGAATGTGCTGCGCCCTACGCAAGAGTGAAGAGTGGACTATGTAGCAAGGGCATGAGAAGGAAATACATGGATTGCTGACATGCCAACCCGCCATGAGACGAACAACAATTTGTTTTCTTTGCACAACTATCTTCACCTGTTGCAACAAATCTGCTGCTTCCCGAGCAATTCCGCCCAAATCACACGCCCACACAACGCGCAACAGATCATATCAACAAGGACGGTCATAATAACGCGAACGAGGCGCCACAACACGTAGAAGGACATGATGATTCCAGAGTAGTCCTAGTAGAGTGCGGCGATAGATACGGGAGTTTCCGAAAATAGGGCTACCCTATTTAGGGGTCCTTATAATACGGATCCTACTATTTAGGGTCCTATATCAGGGTCCCCTATTTTCGGAAACTCCCATACATCGAGACAAGCGACAACAAGCGACAAGGCTTCCGGCTGGGAAGTTCTTGGGCCGCCAGGCCCCCAACAGGGCGGCTTGCTGAGGCCGTCGTCTCGGGCTTCGGCCGGAACAGGGGTTCTTTGGTGTCGGGCTTAGGGTTACTCAATTTAGGGGGTTTAGGGTTTAGGGTTTAGGGTCTTGGGATTTAATGAGGAATTTGTGGGCTTTGGGTTTTACTGTGGATTCAGGGTTGAGGGTTGGGTCGTCTGGGTCTTGGAATGAAGATGAACGGCGAGCCTTTTTTCCTTCTTGCTCCGCATGGGTGTCGCTAAATACTTTCCAATGTAGTATGTTTGGAGTGCCAAATGGGCCCAAGCACCAAAACAGTAGGTGATACAGTCCCCAAAAGTATGCTGGTATTTTTGGGGAGTCATATCTCCAGTACTCTTAAGTCTTAGTAACGGTCCCCGGGAATTGCATACTTTTCTGCTACTTGAACCGTTTGGGTGGGCCATCTTTGTGGTCGGATGCTCCTCCCGGATGATACTCGAAACCCAAGGGGCTATTAAGACTAGTATCTTCTTGGAAAAGACCCAAAACCCCGAAACTCTGCACCGTTCAAGCCGAAAAGCTCTAAACCCAAAACCCTTCAAACCCTAAGCCCTAAACCCTAAACCCTTGAAGACCCGAAACCCTAAAAGCCCCAAGCCCTCAACCCTTTAAAGCCCCCAAGCCTTCAATCCCAAGTGCAAGACTCGCTTCTGAAGCGCAGGAGGGGCTCAGGAGGCGCTGGAAGAGCCAGGCCATCCTAGATGCCTGGGATTGGGGTTTTAAGGCTTCGGGTCTATAGGGGTGTAATTAGGGTTTAGAGTTTAGGGCTTAGGGGTTTAGGGCTTTGGGTGTAGGGTTTAAGGCTTTGGGTTTAGGGGTTTAGGGGGTTTTAGGAGTTGTGTTTAGGATACTAAGGGCTTAACTGGATGGTGTTCATGTTTCACAAGGTTTATAGTATACCCCCAACCAAAATTTCCCCTTAATAAGATAGTATGTTAACCTGGTTGAAGATCTGCTGTTTCCGGCTTTCTGCCCACTAGGCTGCTGCACTTGGGAGGCAGCTTGCGGTTTGGCGGCTGTCGGATGCCATGCATGGGCCACATGGGAAGGCTCGGAGTGCAACGTGAATCAGAGCGCAGAGAGAGGAGGCAGACAGCTCGGGAGAGTTGCGGGCACCTAAACCCTACACCCTAAACCGCTAAATCGCTACACCCCTAGACCCCTAAACTCTAAACTCCTACACTCTGAACGCCCGTCTGATCACTTCAGGCAGGATGAAAGCTACGCAGCGCAACTGCCAGCTTCTTGGACTCAATGGAGTTCTGGGTTCCTGTGCCCGAAGGTCCTCAGCCAATTCCTGCTTTCGGCTCGGTATGAAGATTGCTGTCATATTATGGCAAAACTGGGAAGAGCAGCTCCAGGCAAACTAATTATATGAATACTAAAAATGTGTGTGTGTGTGTGTGCGTGTGTGTGTGTGCGTATATATATATATATATATATATATGTATATACATATAAACATATATAGAAAAATATACATATACATATACTTATATAGTATATGTATATATACATATATATCGACATCATTTTGCCTTGGCGAGCCATAAAGATCCCAAGTTTTCAGGGCGCACTACCCTAAGCTAAACCGGGGCAGAACCCTAAACCCCAAGTTATAGACCTTAAGCCCTAAACCCTTAACTACTGCCCGAAACGAGGGCGTCCCGGGCTGAGCTTCGGCGTGATGCCCCGCCTTTCGTCACTCGGCTTGCCCACGTCCTCAGAGTAGTTGAGGTTTTTTTATCAAGGATCTTGCTCTATTATGTCTAGGTTTCTATGTAAGGGCATTTGATGTGGATCTGATTTTTTTACATGCTGTTTGGGTTTAGGGTTCTATATGAAGCAATACAATATGGGTTACACTATTCAGGGTGCTACACACGTGTCCCTTGTCTGTCTGACACTCTTTCTGGAGTTCGGCTCGGACACTGCTGCAAGTCTTCGGCACCAACCGGCTAAGCCCTGGATAACCTTAGGTTTTAGCTGCTCCAGGATATTTGCGGCTTGGCGTTGACTGTTGTTCTTTGGATGTTTAAACGTTTGCACGGGACCTAAGAGCATCGTTATCCGGTTTGGGCCCAATTTGGGATCAAAGAGGGTTTAGGCTTGAGTTTCGAGTTCTAGTGCTGGGTATACACTTGGAGACTGTACATCGGTGCCTGCATCAAGTATTTATGGTTGCGGTGTAAGCCAAGGTGTTCAAAGCCTCCGAGCTTTTTCCTGCTGCCTGAAACAGCAGGAACCGAGCGATACCCTTGTACTCCACTGCTGCCAGCAAGGCAATCAGAATTCCACGGTGGCTCTGCTCCCTACACAGATTCCTTAGGACGCAGGTCGAAAATGTGCACCGACTTCTCCAGAGGACGATGCGCAATAGAGTCATATGCTAATTACTGTACAACAATAACAACACTAGTATCACTAATGAAAAACAGTATACTGAATCCTGGTTACGCCCCTTCAGATTTGCAGCTTTTGGCTTGGCCGTCGTCATCTTGCGCGGTTTTGCTTTCCAATTCTAGACAGATGACTGCCCTGAAGGTTACCCAGCTGCGACGTGTACCTACCGAATCACGTGATCTTCATGTGTTCTTGGAGGATGGCTTCATGCTGCATGGAGATGACAACGAGTGAGATTCCTCAGCGTGACATCCGGGGGCGGGCTGTTGCAAGCAGAGAAGGTCCATGCCTGCAACGTAGAGCACCGCCAACATCTAGGAAGACATCTGGAGATGCTGCAGCACATGGAATTGGCACTATATAAGCCCTGGACCATCCTAAACCCTAAACAATTTCCGTAAAAAGGGGACCCTGATATAGTACCCTAAATAGTAGGATCCTTATTATAAGGACCCCCAAATAAGGTACCCCCAATTTTTTCGGAAGCTCTAAACCCTAGAATCCCTTATAGAACCCTTATAGATCCCTTTAAAGCAACCCTAGGATCCTAAACCCTAAACTGTCCTAAACCCTAAATGACCCAAGTGGCAGGATGCCGTAGCAGATGGCGAGGTCGTAGAAGTGTTGGAGGCTCGAGTTTTCAAAGTGCGGGAGTCGGAATGGGTCGGTTCAGCATTTATAGGGTTTAGGGGGTTTAGGGTTTAGAGGGGTTTAGGGTTTAGGGGGTTTAGGGTTTAGAGGGGTTTAGGGTTTAGGGTTTAGGGTTTAGGGGGTTTAGGGGGTTTAGGGTTTAGAGGGGGTTTTGGCCGGTATTTCAGTTTGTGCTGAAAAGGGTTTAGGGTTTGGGGTCCGGTGCAGGGTGTGCGGGAGCTTTGATCTAGAAAGCAGAGCTGCTTTTCATATCCGTTTCTCGATGCCTGCCTTTGTGTTGATCTGCAGCTCGCATACTGTAGGAAAGGCGTAGACATCATCCCACCCTACTCCTAGACCCCTAAACCAGTTTGGTGTACTAGGATCCCCACATCCTGAGCCATAAACTAGCCTATCCTGGTCTAGGGTTTAGGGCTTCAGGGTTTAGGGCTTAGGGTGTAGAGGTTTAGGGTTTAGGATTTAGAGCTTTAGGGTTTAGGGACCCTAAGCCCCAAGCACCCGCTGGACAGGTTGAGGGCGAGTTTGCTCGTATCCTCTCTCCAGACAGGCCTGCTCCGGCCATGCGCCAGTAGTCATGCAAAGAATCCGGGGTAGATCAGCTAGAAAGTAGATCCCCTAATTTGGGGCCCTATACTTCTAAGGGTACATTATAGGAAACCACCATCACGGGATCTACATTCAGCCCGGCAGTGATAATACGCCACATTTAATCTCTTCCTCCTAGTATTAAACCTCCCGTAATGTAAACACTCCCGGCCCCCGGAATTTCGCGGTTTCGGGCCCACAATTGAAAGTAAATAAGACACTGCTCCGGGTGGCGCGGCCGTGAACCCTGCTACAAGATGAAAGATCCGTGGGGTTGTTTTATGTTTCATTCAGGCTCACAATCTCAAGATCAATGCTCGCAGTCCTGCAGTCCTACATGATACAAAAACCTTGCGCCTCAAAACGTTTGACAAGATCTGGCGCATCGAACATGTTCGCACCGTCGCCACAGCATATCGAAGCGCCGTGCTGATTGCCTTGCGCCTCCCCCGTCGCTGCTCGCGATGCTGCATGTTTGGATGCTTTCCGGCGAGAAGGCTGTCTTGGGTTTCGCTTGTCAAAGTAGTAGTACAACGGAGTGTGAAAGGTAATTATGTGTGTAGCGTGTGCCCGTACAAGTTGCAGCAGTATATCTTCATACAGTAGCACTTAGTTGTTGTTTGTACTGCACGTCAGTTTATGCTTCCATCGTAATTGCGTATGTAGATTTAGACCATTTCAAGAGCCCAAGAGAACCTTCCAAGGTGGAGATTCCGAAGGCAGAGCATGACGACGTGAAAAGCGTAAAGCAACTGACTGAGCATTTACGGCATTTACGGGTTGAAGTTTCAAGGAAAAAGCAGGTTACGGGTCTACTAACCGGCTTTGGACATGGTGATTCCCTAAATGCCATGATGTTTAACTTGTTCGCTTCCTCTCGGGGTTGGCTTTGATGCGGAAATAAGGCGAAGCTTGCAGGCGCTCCTGAACATACCAAGATTCCGGCAAAGACTTGTTCACGGAGAGAGGGTTTTGGAAGATGGTGCTGCAGTGGCCCCATTGGTAGATGTTAAACTGATGGTGCAGGGCTTCACCACTGACTCGCAAGCTCCGCCCAGACTCATTACTCAAAGCTTACGTGGACGAGCATCAGAAGTGGAGTCGTTGTTGGAAGAGCCACAGGATCCCAACTTATTCGATGCCAGAGGCTTTACAGCTCTGATGCACGCATCTGGGCAAGGGCACGTGGAGGTTGTGCGTCTGCTGCTGGAGGCCATGGCCGAGCCGAACTTAGCTGCAAACAGCAACGATGGCACGACGGCTCTTTCCGACGCATCCAACCGAGGCCAAGACGAGGCTGCACGCTTGCTGCTTGAGGCTCGGGCGGACGTGAACGTGAAATCTAACAACGGAGTCACTGCTCTGATGAATGCTTTATTCCACGGCCACGCAGAACCTGCATATTTGCGCTTGCTGCTGGAGGCTCGGGCGGACGTGAACGTGAGAACCAACAGTGGAGTCACTGCTCTGATGAATGCCACTACACGCGGCAACGATCCTGTATACTTGTGCTTGCTGCTGCAGGCTCGGGCGGATGTGAACGCGAAAACCAACAGTGGAGTCACTGCTTTGATGAATGCCACTACACGTGGTAACGCTGTATATTTGCGCTTGCTGCTGGAGGCTCGGGCGGACGTGAACGTGAAAAACAACAGTGGAGTCACTGCTCTGATGAATGCCCTATTCCACGGCCACGCAGAACCTGCATATTTGCGCTTGCTGCTGGAGGCTCGGGCGGACGTGAACGTGAAGACCAACAGTGGAGTCACTGCTCTGATGAATGCCACTTTTCGTGGCAACGCAGAATCTGCACGTTTTCTCCTGGAAGCCCGGGCCAACATGAACGAAGTTGCAAACAATGGAGCTACTGCTTTGATAAACACATTCGTAAGCCGTGACATGAGGTCAACGCAGGTGCTGCTGGAAGCGCAAGTTGACACACGGTGTGCTGTTGCGCGCTGTGCTTTCATTTTCATGGTAATTCTGTTGTTTTTGTTCTCCGATGCAGTCTTCATCTACTTGACGCTCACTCCAGGGAGTTCCGTGCCGCATGTGGAGTCGGCTGCATTTGCCTGCATGCTTACCGGTTGTGTCTTTTTGCTGTTCTTCCGTCTTTGGCACCGGCCCTCGTGGGTTCCCTGGGTGGCATATGCAACACTTACACGGGCTGTTAGACGCATTTGCCGGAGGATCTGAGAACGGACTACCAACTGAGATGTTCTCATATGCGGACAAGACAACCACTCCTGGCCTTCTGGATTCCACAGATCACCAGGTGCCTTGCATTCCTCACTCGGCCTAGCCCCGGGCAGGACTAAAGACTATAAGACTATCTGGATATAAGACGATGTTGTACAATAGCACTGTAACACTGCTATAATATTATATAATAATGCTATTTCTACTACTATGACAATACTATAACAATACTACAAGAATACTATAACAAGACTATAAAATGCGATAATAAAAGCTGCATTATTTCTACAATAATACAATGATAATATAGTCGCAGCGCTTGAACTTACGTGGAGCCTGGAGCGGGCAAGGCTGGCACAACAGCCCACAAGGCTGGAGGACCATTAAAAAGAAGAGCATCTTCTTACTTGAATGTTCATGGGTAGTTATAAGTAGGGTTGTAAGTCCCCTAATTGGGCTTATAACTGTAGTTTCCCGACTTATAACCACACTTATAACTACCCATGAACCTCCAAGCAGTACCAGTCAAACCGAAGAGACCAGAGTAGGGGTTTAGGGCCTAGGGCTCAGGGCTAAAGCTTTAGGGCTTAAGGCTTTAGGGCTTAAGGCTTTAGGGCTTTAGGGTTTAGGGCTCAAGGTTTTAGGGCTTAGGGCTTCAGGGCTCAAGGTTTAGGGCTTACGGTTTTTCCTGTCTGACTGCACTGGACTACTGTCAATCCCACTCACACCCTGATGCACCCAGCCCCCCCTAATATTATGTAAATCCGGATCCAGGAAATACATGCACAAATTAGTGGGGAATTTAAATATTAGGGGAACGAATTATACGTGTTGTGTCATGAATATCAGTATGCATATTAATATTGATATTGATATTCGCACTGGACTTAAGATTCATCTCAACATTGACGCCATCTTGAAGCCCCAAGATCAGCTTCAGCACTCTAAGCTCCAATGCCACCAGCCCAAAATCCAATCCATCTTCTCAATCCCTATAAAACCTCGAGAATCGATCTTCTCATAACCTACCAGCATCTTAATCCCCGTGTAACAACTCCTTGCAGCCAGACTTTAAGTTGCCATGACCCCGCAGGCGTTGTGGATGGGTGCAATCCAGGCTGGGTTCTTTTCCTTTGCATGGTGCAATATGAACATAAACAGTCATGGCGATCACACTGCTTCGGTTGCGACTACCATCACCACAACCGCCACGACTACAATGGCTAGTTCTACAACTGCTTGCGGACAGCAGTAGATGGAGAAATAGGTGTCGTGGTCGTCGCTGGCTTGCCAGTGGCAGCCTCTTGATCTAGCAGACACCAGTACCCCAAAAGCACAGAAGAAAGGCCACCCTGTTGAGGTTTCGGGTTGGGGGTTTCTGTTTGGGCCTAGGGGTTCGGGGTTTGGGCTTGGAGCTTTAGGGGTGATCGGTTCTGCAGTTCCTGGGTAGTTGCTTCTATAGGTGTTGAGAAGTGTAATAATGATATTAGGAGCAACTGCCAGGCTTCACCTGATAGCTTGAACTGTTTTTGATGCATTGCTGTTTCAGGTATCTTCAATTTACCACGCCTGAGACTTGCCCGCAATGCAGAAGCTATGCGTGGTCTCTGTGCTGTGGCCCAGTTGCTGTTTAAGTTGGATTCTGTTTCGGTCTTGTTGCAACCTCAGTGCCGGTCCGGTGCCGGCCCAACATATGTTTAGCACTCAGTAGCGGTTGCCTGAAATGCTGTGGAAGGATGCCCGCACAAATAACAAGCATAATGGAATTCAGAGCAATCCTTGTGGTGGGTCGTTGAGGCAGCACGGAGTCAACAGTCCGTGTCTTGAAAGTTTGCAGTCGCGGCTATCGTCGGCGTAGGCGATGATCACCGTCATCAACATCATCAGCGTCAACAACATGGCCATCCTCGTCATCACCATCATCATATGCATCTTCATCGCCATCGTCAGCGTTGCTCCTTTCATCTCTCTGGGGTTACCACCAGTATCTTCATCACTGGAATCCTTTTCCTCATTCCAATCATCATGAGCGTCCCTGGCATGACTATCATCAGCTTCTTTGGAATTTTAAGCATGACCACAAGTCATAGTAGCAGAATTCATGCAAGGAGCTACTTGCTGTACTAGCAACCGTGCCAACACATATCAATCGCCGTAAGACCATGACCACATGCAAACCAACACGGGCCTTCGCCAGAGTAACACACAGTCCACAGGCAAAAAACAGTAGCAAACAAAGATGTGAGCATGAGTTTCACAGGTGTATGAAAATTTAAAGCATTGATAGTGAACTAGGTCCTCATCGTACTGTAGTGCCACCGTAGTAGGTAAGCCATCTTTCCACAAAGAGGCGAACGAACAGCATTAATCATTGCACCGTCAGTAGCAGAAACAGTCGCAGCGGCAAATAACAAAGTCAGCACAGTCATTAGTCACAACCGCAGCGCCAGTAATAGCAACCACGAACACAAGCATTGCATCAAGCATCACAGCAACATCACCACTGCACCCTGAATTGTAGGATTGAGGGGATGGAGGGGGGGGGGGGGTCAGAGGATTTTCTCCGTGTTTAGCTCATCTGCTGTGGCAGGGCGGGGGGGGGGGGGGAGCGCAATGTAATTTAGAGTTTCCGCACCCTCCAGCCTAAAGGACAAGGTAGCAAAGGTTCCGAAAACACCACCAACAACAGCACGACGTTCAATATCATCAACACCGAATCAACACCTTCACCGACAACAACACCAAGCAGAACCCCAACATGAGCATGAATTGGAAATCCTCTAGCAACCATAGCAGTACAACAGCGGTGACAACAGCGTGAAAAACCACGGCACAAACAACATCAGTAGCAATACCGATAGCGTACAGACCAATATCACCAACAGCAACGACAAGAAGCATCGTCAACCAGTGCACAAGTCGCAACGACATCCGTTGTTGCACATATATCCGCCGCCGTCGTATGTTCTTGTTGTAGCTGTTTCATGATCGCCACATGAACCTTGGTTGTTTCAACCATGCACCACTCTTTTTTGCTGCAAATGCAAGCATGCATGCGGATGCCAGTAGCAGCAACAAGACCAGCACATCCTCCAGAAACAGCTGTCGAGGCATCTGGATCCTCCGCAAGTAGTCGGATTCTCGGCTGTCTTCGGAGTCCACAGGTTCTGGGGGTGCAATGCAAGCCCACACTGTCATCATCTTCATCATCGCCATCATCGTTGCAATGTTCATCACGATCTTCTTCATGATAATCATCATCATGATGACGGGTCTCGGTGGTCATCGTCGTCATCAGCTTCATCGCCAGCATCAACCTGACGCTAAACTCTTCTCTTCGTCATCCGCTTCGAGTACGCCGGGTAGATAGCTCTGGGACATCGTCTCGACGCCGTTTTCAGCGGAGTTTTCCGGGCGACGGCCACCCTATCCTCTGCTAGATAAGTGAAGTTGAGGGTGGCAGCCAGAAGGAATCGATGACTGGAAAAAAGCTCCTGGGCTAAAGCCACCATGCGCGAATTCAGCAATCAAACCCAGTAGTTTGACCCCACTTCGATGCCTGGCAATCTTCATCCTGCGACGACGTTTGCATTACTCTCGTGCGAACTGCTGGGGCGGTTCTGCTTTGCTTGTGGTTAAACCCTGAACCTTTAACCTTCATCAAACCCAGCAAACCCCATCATAGACCCAAATACACCCTAATAAAAAACCTTAACCCTAAACCCCTAAACCCAACCCTGATAAACCTAGATCAGGAAACCCATGCGAGTCGACGAGTTGCCGGAGGAGCTCTGCCCACGTCTTTAACCACACTCGACTGTGCAGTCGCCTGCCGTCGGTCTCTCCAGTGCATGACCAGCTCTGTTGGGCATTTGGGCAAGAGCATCTCGATGAAGACATGAGACATCCTCTTTACACATGTATGTATGTATGTATCTATGTATGTATGTACGCATGTATGTATGTGTGTATGTATGTCTGTATGTGTATGTATGTGTGTAGATATGTAGGTAGGTATGTATGTATGTACGAATGCATACACATATATACTTGTTTACAGTGTTTGTTCTCTCCTACTCTCACTCACTCACTCACTCGCTCACTCACTCACTCTCTCTCTCACTCTCACTCTCACTCTCTCTCTCTCTCTCTCTCTCTCTCTCTCTCTCTCTCCGTTTCTCTGGCTCTTGCGGCTCAAAATGATTGCAGAATGGTGCCGGTTGTAAGAGAGAGCTCTAGTTTACAAGGGTTCTTGTCGTGTTAGCTTGAGCAATAAAAGGTAAGTCTAAGAACAAAGCGTTGGTGTTCATCACCGTCACGGAAGCACTAATGATGGTAACAACAACAAGACGTATGCTGTCAGTTCATGCTGTGATATGAAAATTGATGAGCATATACAATATACAACTCCTTCACGTTTTATCACGTTATAGCCGACGGTGGTGTACTGCAATGGGTATTTTTGTGTGTTGATAGACGGCTGTACAAAAGAAATAGTACTATGACCTTCTATATTGTAATGTATGACACTATACTCTAGGAGTCTTTTGTTATACCCTACTATGATAGATTTTGGCATGTCATAAAGTGGTACGCCCTATTTACACAGCGTTTGCTGTATCACATGTTACAGCATGTTGTGGTCTATAATTACATGTTTTGAAATGATAGAGTGCTAAATTTCCCATTGGCCTCTTGGGCGCTAGGACTTCGATGTCGTCGAGCCTTTGCCGCTTGGCCCAATCTTTTCGGGTGTATGCCGTCAGTTCTTGTTATACAGCTGTTGTTCGTTTTTAAGCCTGCCGGCATTATCTATCGTGATGTGCTACTTCTGCATCTGAGGATCATCACAGGAGGCACGCCCGGCGTCAATGGCTGGAAGGCGAGAGCCGACAGGAGCAGACTTTCAGTGAATTCTTGCTGCTGCTGCTGTTTTCGACAGCTGCCGCCATCCAACCCACCAAAGTAGATTTCTAAAGCCAGAAGAGAATTCTTGCTTCGAGCTGTCCTCATCGTCATCTTTGGCCCCGTCGTGGTCACGATCAACATGACATGCACGGGTAATCATCATCATCATTATCATCATGACAATCATCACTGTCGTATTCTTCGTCATCACTGGAGTCGCTATCATGATCCTCCTCCTCATCGCCGCCAGATGATCTTGACTGACGAACATGAGGGCAGTTCTCTAAATCAGAATCCCCTTCATGCTCCTCTTTATAAGGGTGCCGCACTGTGTTGTACCCAAGACAGGGACCATTTAGAGAATTATCAATGAAAACTTTCTACGAAGGGGCAGCCGCTGTCTCGTTTCCAGAGCTTCGGCACCGTGCTGGCAGCTGCAGCTGCGAGGGCTCGCCTGGCGCCTCGCTGTGCAGAACACTGCAGAAGGGGCCTAAATAATTACCCACACTAGAGCTCCCTTAACGGGGTCTATAAGGGCTACTTGTGACTATAGGGGCGATTACAAGGATTTAGTACAGGGACCTACCTAATTTCCAAAAAAAAAAATATATATATATATATATATATATATATGTATATGTATGTATGTATCTTGCGGGGGGTCCTTATTAAAGAGCGATAGTATAATGGCCCCATTACCCGATTTGAATCAGTAAGGCCCCTACATTACAGAAGTCAGGGTGAGATTCTGTGGACTTTGGTCTCCTGGGAGTCGTATGTCTGTCAGCGCTTCGAAAGTAGTGGTCTACAGATGTGCCGCTGTAGCTAAAACTAAACTATCCTTTTTTTGAGACCTCTATCTGTTCACCTGCCTGCATGACTCTCTGTCTCTTTGTCTCTCCCTGCCTGCCTCTGTCTCTCTGTTCGCTCTTTCTCTCGCTCCTCACTCTCCCTTTCTCTCTCGCTCTCTCGCTTTAGCTTTGTTGTTTTTTTCTCTCTCTCTCTCTCTCCCCTCCCTCCCTCCCTCCCAGTCCACAAGAATCCTTGAACCCCCAAAAGCCTGAAGCGCTAGAGGCACCAGTCCCTAAACCCAAACACACAACCCAAACTCTGAAATGCGAAGCCTTGAGCCCAAACCCAAAGCCCTAAAGGCCCTCAACCCAAAATCTTAAGCCCGATACCTTACCATAGGGCCTCAATGATTACCTACTATACTATTCTGGGGGCTCCTTATTATATATAAGTATAGTATAATGAGCCCCAAAACCCTATTCTAATTACCAAGGCCCCTATACTAAATCCTTATACTAGCCCTTATAGACCCCTTTAAAGGGAACCCTTATTCTAATTATTAAAGCCCCAAAGCTTACGTGCCAAATCTTAAGCCCGATAGCTTAAGCAGACTGATCGGCTTACCTTTGGTTAGTAGGGAATGGAAGAATGGTAGTAAAATCTGTTGTAATTGTACCCCATTGCTCCATTCCCTACTAACCAAAGGTAAGTCGGTTCGAACTTCCACGCCCCGCTGCTGCGCCAAGGCACAGGCCGAGGAGCTCGGCCACTCGCCTGATTCCCGGAACCTGCGCAGTTTCAGGTTGAGGGGTTTAGGGCTGCAGGGTTTAAGGCTGGGGTTTAGGGGTTTAGGATTTATAAGGATTGATTTATAGGGGTCTAGGGTTTATACGGCTTTGGGGTTTAGGGTTTCGGGTTTAAGGTTCAGGTTTCGGAGGCTGAGGTGTCAGTATAGGGTTGGAAGGGTGCGGCCCCTTAGGCCAAAAGAGGTCTTTGACCTTCCGGCTTCCCTTGCAAGCACCCTGTTCCCACAGGCGAAATCGCACGGAGCATTCCACTTGCCGCTTCCTCGTTCGAAGCCCTGCTCTAACTCCCACGTACCAAACCCTCGGGCGCCAGTTGCCTAAATAGGTTACCAACCATCTATTATCTACCCCAGTAACTACTTAACTGGAGCCCTAGGGAAATAGGGTTTTCTGGGACCTTAAGCTCCACTCCCAGCCCTGAAAAGCTTTCAGACCCTCGACCCTCACCCCCGTAACCCTAAACTCCGAAAGTCTTGAGCCACTGCATCTTAAAAAAAAAAAAGAAAGAAAGTTTTGAGCCCGAAACTCCTAAACTCTGAGCCCGTTACAGATCCTAGGACTTCGTGAGAGTCGCAGGCTCCCCGCCCACACGCTGGACCCCGGGCTTTGTGCGCTACCGGCTGGACCGGCCGGCTTGCCCTATGGTGATGGGAGTGCCGCTTGTCTTGCGCATTTTCTTGTACACGAAAATGTCACCAAAACACATCTGTACGTGCATTGCATAATACACATGTATGTATGTATGTATGCATGCATGTATGTATGTATGTATGTATGTATGTCTATGTGTATGTATGTAACTTTGTATGCATGCATGCCTGCATGTGCCCATGTGTGTATATATTGCACAGGGCATGTGTGCATGGATGCATGCACTGATGCATACACACACGACTTTGCATTTTTTAGAGCTGAATGTCCGTTTTCCGACCGGCTACCAATCCCAAACTCCCCACACACTGTGCAACTTGACGAAGTCTAAAACAGAAGTGCAGTAGACTTCACTCCGGGAGCAAAGCGCAAGCGGTGGACGCCCAGGTATCCCGAACCGGCGCGACCCTTGGAGCATTTTGAGTTTCAGGCCAGTTTGCTCATCCTGCAGACAAGGCACAAAGCATACTTATATAAGTTCATTCTAGTATTTCTCGGCATGGATGACGTAGAAGCTGATGATCCTTTCTGACTGCACTGTTTGCGACTCAGGTCCGCGGCGACTGGACTTTCCGCTGTTCTTCAGACCAACTTCTCCGAGCGATGGATGTAATGGGCTTCGTGCCTGCGTTCTGCAGGGTTTAGGCTTTTGGGGTGGGGTTCTGCGACATGCACCGGACCGGAACACTAACGCCACACATTGAACACGCGTAGCAGAGGGTGTTGGACGCCTCTTCAGTTGTACATGCAGACAGCTTGCTTTTGCCTCATAGCCCTCCCGCAATGAAGAAGAAAGCCGCTCCTGATCGTAGCTCAGGTTACCTTTCCGTACCGCAGCCCTGTAGCGACTCGCTGCAATCAGCATGAGTTGATGAACGATTGCAAGGGCTGCAGGGCTTGGATTCCCATTCATGTATTATGTAGGTACGTATGTGTATATACTTATAGATCTACTTATGTGCCCAGAATGCTATCCCCACCATCGCCGCTGTCACCCAGCATCAAATATCGGTGTATTCCTGCTGCTGCAGCATGACTGTATTCACTGTCCATCGAGATCACCATCGTTAGCATGATCGGTTATGACCATGATGGTCGTTTTCGTGATAGCTGATAGCGACAAAGAGCCACACCATAACGTCAGACCGCACTAGACGTGTCGGCATGACGAAAAGGTTCGCCAGCAACTGTGATGCGCGTGTCATCTGTGTTTCTTCTATCGTGATGTTTGCACGGTTATGCTATGTTCTTCTTATCCGATTGCGCGTGTCGGTGCGATATTGAAGTTCATTGATTCGTTCTTCTTCTTACACTTACTATCGTCTCCTTATAAGGACTTATTTTTGTATTTTTGTTCATATAAAACCCAAGAGAATATTGAAAGTTTTATTTTCTTATGGTTCTAACGCGGGGTATAACTTAAAAAATCAAGCCTTTCGGGCCTGGTTAGCGCCTGCGTGCATCGACCACTGTAGTCTTCTGACTGCCAGCCGTGCCCTAAAACCTTTCATGCATAATCCAAGCATATGCAGAATCTGTACTAGATTACCTTATTTAAACCCTACACCCATTCAGGCAAACATCTGCAGAATCCATACTAGATTACTTAGTTCATTAAACTCTATAAGCCGTTTGGGGTTTAGCTTATAAGGTGTACATACTAGACTACCTTACCTTAACTAAACCCGAAGTCGTTTCGGTTTAGGGTTTACTGGATTGAGTCCTGAGCCCCTCAAGGCGACCTTCTGGAAGACGTCGTTCCTAGCAGCTGCCTTCCCCGCGGGCCGCGCTTCACGTGCGGGCTGCTGGGACAAGGACTTTGGGGGTTTAAGGTTCAAGGTTTACGTTTTAGGATGGTTTCAGGGCTTCGGGTTCAGGGTTTAGGGTTAGGGTTTAGGGTGTAGGGTGAAGGATCCCTGCAGATGGAAGACATCGATCCGAAGACGCTTTAGAGTTGGACGGTGTAGACTAAGATCTTAAACTTTAAAACAGCAAATCCTGAAGCCCCATACCCTATACTTATCCTGAATTTGCAAACCCAAAACCTCAACAAACGTGGTCAAGCCTGAAATCTTGCAGGGCTGGAGGTAGATGCTTCTGTAGGATTCTGTACGGATTCGTGGGTCTCAACAGCGTTTCATCTTGGATCCTATCTTCACTTCAGACCTGGTATCGGCGCAGTTGACGCCCGGCTTCCGGCTGGGAATGCTCGGTTTGGTTGAATAGCCGAAGTGCATCGAATGCCTGAAGTCAACGTAGTCTCTGCGTGCTGGATGCCAAAATGTCGGATGATGATGGGTTTGGGGTTTCGTAGTTTCCTCTCTCATGTCTTGGTTCAGTAGGCTTCTCGGAGAACGGCTGGCTATCCATGCCCTGCCGTCACTGTAGCCTGGCTCTTTGCCGCTGCGTTTGTCCACGAGTCTTGCTGCAACATGTTCCTCCGGAAGACTTGGTGTAAGAGTTGAAACACTTTGGGGGGAGTGGTGGTCGGGCTTCTGCCGTAGTTCCTTACACCCGACCCTCATCAAGAACCTACTTGTCAGTCCACTGTCATCAGGGTGACATGATGCAACGCAGGCTGCAAGATCATTTTAGGAGTTCAATCAACAATCGGCTTGGGCTTGGCCTGAGAAGCTGCCGGAATATTTCCCTCTTCACGACACCGATCTTCCTAAATGGAGCAGATAACTGCATCGCTGGACATATATACGGAGCTGTGCATGTATATTCAGCTGCTATTTTAGCTACACACAGAGTAGGCTGTGCAGACGAGTTGTCATGAAAGGAGCTGACTTTCCTTTGCAACGGCATCCGGTGTGCTACGGCAACTTGGCAGTAGGCGAAGCTGCACGGCGCTTCGATTGAGGGTTTAACGGTTTGCGTGGGTTTGGGCGCTCAGCGTTGCTTGCAATACAACTCGTTATACAGACCCGGAGCTTGTAATTCCAAGGTCACTGCGTGCTTGTCCTGGCTGGTGAAGTTACAGTGCGCATGCTGCACGGTGACACTGGTTTCTTGGATGTACTTTCAGCAATATTTTTTAAAGGGTTTAAATGGTGCGTATAGGGTTCAGGGTACCCTAAACCCTGAGCCGTATCAGTCTGAGACTTCCTGTCCTAAAGAAGAGGAGCTCAGATACGAAGCCCGATATCATCCTAAACCCCAATCGCTTAGGCATTCAAGCCCTGCATTGTCAACCCTGAAACCCAAAGGGTTTGGGGGTTCGTGTATTCGTGGGTAGGGCTTTTAGGGTAAACGGAAAACTTACCCCAAAAAACCCTAAACCGTAAACTTCCCTACAACCTAAACCCTATGCCCCCAAAACCCTTAACCCGACTTCTCCGACCCCTCGGCCAGGTGCTGTCGCACTTTCGGCTGCTACAGGGCTGCTTGGAGCGGCTGTAGCTGCGACAGACCTGCTTCCAGGCTTCATGGAACTATCCGATATATTGTATTCTATTTAAATGTAAAATGTATATATTCACTGTGTAGTATGCATTTTTTTATTATACATATTAACGTACATGTACATACAGTTACATATATACTCATAATATACATAGATGTAGACATGGTTACGTACATATGCATATACATAGACACAAGCATACAAACATACACATACACATGCATGTACATGGTATGTACATGTACATATACGTACACATATTCATATGTATATATGTATGTGTATATATACACGCGCTACATGAACATAATGCTATACACACCTCTTGCACATATTCGTATGTGTATGTATATATGTGGGCATATATACATACATATATATATATATATATGCATCCAGCTATCCATCCATCCATCCATCCATCCATCCATCCATCCATCTAGATGTATGTATGTATGTCACCATGTCGTATTGATTTGAAGGCGGTTTGTCGTGTCTAGTCGTTTAGTCACTAGTCTTGGCTTCAGATACTCTCGCACATGGCAGGATGCCTTGCATACACATGGGTAGTTCTCTAAACCAGGGCCACGTTTTGAGGAACCGTTATGAGAAGGACCCTGCGAGGGACCCTATAATTGAGAGAACTACCCACATCTTGCTGTCCCAAGGTTCGACGACGCCGAGGCGGTCGATGTTTGCGAAACCTGCAATTGAAAGGCTGCCGATGTGTAGTCCAAAACGTCGAACTTGCGGATGGAAGGGTCATAATAAGCAGTCATGGTCCTAATATACTGTTACAGTCAGAAGTTCCGAACCCCTACTCTAAATATTATGTACGGTCCTAATATACTGTGATTGCCATAGACCGCCAACCCCTACTCTCAATATTCAGACGGTTATTCTACTTGGAGGTTCATGGGACTTAGTAAGTACAGTTATAAGTACCTTAACTGGGGTTATAAGTAGTTATACGTATAGTTACCTTATTTATATCCCTAGTTACAAAGTCCCATGATCCTCCAAGTAGACCCTAAACCCTAAACCCTATAGATCCCTTTAAGGAACCCCTATAGATCCCTTTAAGGAACCCCTATAGATCCCTTTAAGGAACCCCTATAGATCCCTTTAAGGAACCCCTATAGATCCCTTTAAGGAACCCCTATAGATCCCTTTAAGGAACCCCTATAGATCCTTTTAAGGAACCCCTATAGATCCCTTTAAGGAACCCCTATAGATCCTTTTAAGGAACCCCTATAGATCCCTTTAAGGAACCCCTATAGATCCTTTTAAGGAACCCCTATAGATCCCTTTAAGGAACCCCTATAGATCCTTTTAAGGAACCCCTATAGATCCCTTTAAGGAACCCCTATAGATCCCTTTAAGGAGCCCTTTAAGGCCCCCCAAATCCTTTATAGTAAACCCCAAAAAGTTGGAAACCGGATTAAGGCCAAATAGTGCTGGGATGCCCTATACATTACTCTTAAGGATTGAGGCTATTGGGTTTCCAACTTTTTGGCTTCTACTGTAAGTAGCTTTGGAGGACCTGCCAGGGCTGGAGCTCATGGAGGCTTCCCTCCGCGAAGGCTCGGAAAGGGCACAGGTTTGGTAGAGTTTAGAGTTTGGGGGTTTAGGGATTAGGATGATTTAGGGTTCCGGGTTTAGGGATTAGGATTTAGAGTTCAGGGTTTAGGGATTAGGATTTAGAGTTCAGGGTTTGGTTATTTTGTGGAGGAGATGTCCTGATACTCCCGCCTGGCTGGTGGCATCAGACGCCGCCACGTCGGCACTCATTTCCCGAGTTGGTTGGCATGTGGGGGTTTCCGACAATTGGGGGTACCTTATTTTGGGGTCCTTATAATAAGGATCCTACTATTTGGGGTACTATCTTAGGGTCCCCGATTTTCGGAAGTTCCCATGTAGTCTCACATGGTCAGCTTCGCCACGTGATGTTCCCAAGCATGGCCCGAATTTCTCTTCGGATGTTTCCTTTCGCTGCTGATGCTAAGCAATAGAGACAACCAAATCCATACTTCTCCTGGAACTTGGCGAAATCCGAATTCCGAAGCCAGATGTGAATTCATGCCAACACCGCACCGAAGTTCGGAACTCCCATGACAACCTGCCGGGGAATAGAGAGCCGGAGTCTTTTGTATTGGTGCCCCCTTACAGTCCCTTCTATAGAAGTGCAACATCCATCCAAACCTTGTTCCAAAAATGTGCTAGCTTGTGATTGTGGTGCTGGTCGGGACAGCATGGGCTCATACCTGTCGAAGCGAGTCCTGACAACTTCCAGTGCCCTTGCACTTGTAATCACACGGGGTATCAAGGGAGGGAGGCGTAAGACACGTGATGCAAGTCGCCACCTCCGGTTTTGACTTGCTTTCTGCCTGATTCTGTAACTCTGAGTGGTCAGTCTCCCGACACAGCCATCATTTACGGCTGCAAGAGTGGCAGAGTGGCGCAAATCATGACTTCACTCGACTCACCCTAGACCCTACAAACCCCATAATCCCCATAAGCCCTACAAACCCCATCAGCCCGATAATTACGCCCTTTAAGCCCCGAAAGCCCTATAAACTCCTTAAGCCCCAAACCCATATTTGGCCCAAAAAAATCCGAATTAGGGAAGCAGCTTAGGTTGTGCACCGTCGGTCCTGCGGCACTTGCGCTGACGCCCTTCCTGACCGAGGACTGCCGGCATCGAAATTTGCATAACTCTGCAATCCCAAAGCGTCCAGGTACCATTATAATGGTACTAGTACCCTAATTTAAATACAAAGCAGTGACGTGGACCCTGTAGGAATATGTGCTATCATTTTTTATATGACTGTAGGCTATACTCCCAAAGAGTCCTATGTACCTGTATAGTAGAATGTATGGTTTCCATATCAGGAATTACTATTAGGATCCAGGGAAGTATCCCCCATAACAGTACATGGGACCCATTAGGGCTATAATGTAATGTGCCTGTGCTACGTCTGGGGTTGGCAATGTCTCGGCCCAGGTCTCGGATTAAGCTGACAATACGATGGCCAGGTATTCGTTAGCATCTTAACCGGTGTGTATATTCCATCATAGCTGTATATCCAAATATACATATAAATATATATTTTTACATGTATAGATATGTATAGATAGATAGACTGATAGATAGATAAAGTAGCATAAGTGCACACCTTGTCCATGTCTACGTGCAGGCCACCATTCCACTTTCTTTGGCGGAGCTGTCAAAGCATGGCTTGGTGATTGAGGCCAGCCCTCGGATTCGGAAAGGGTTCGAAGCTTGCCCGGCCGGAAGCCGTAAATCCGAACCTTAGCCCCATAGAGCTAATTACCCTAAACCCTGGGCCCTAAATCCCAAATCCGAACCCTAGACCAGCCTTTCAATGGAGGCATCCAGAGAGGCAGCCCCTGCGGACGCCCTCCGGGCTTGCCTATCGACCGTACGTCGAAGCGGTCAGCTCGGGCAAGGCACAAGTGATGGGTAAGCAGACAGCTTACGGTATAATTGGTAACATATATATATATAAATATATATATATATATATGTATACTGTGAAGTAGTATAGAGTAGTATAGAGTTTAGGCTATAATTGCAGGCCCTAGGGTTACGGCTTGTTGTAAAGGGCTTGCAGTGTCTGGCAGTGGCTAAGATCCACGGCGCAGGGACTTGGCCCTTTGTACTCTCGGCGCTGACTGGCGAGGAGAAAGAGGCGCGATTCGTGAAAGCCTCTTCTCGGACTGCTACTACTCTTAGCCTTGTTGGCGGCAAGCATTATTTCATTATTTACTCGCTATTACCATGCTATCACTGCTGCTATGACTCTCATGTGTCTTGCGATTGTTTTCACCTACGGCTGAGCAGCAGCTGCAGCAGCACGAGTACACCATGTGCGATCAGTAGTACCATCAGAAGTCCTCCTCATCCTCGTCCTCCCCCGCCTCCTCCTCCTTCCCCTCGTCATCGTCGTCGCCGCTGTCGGCATCCTTGCCTTCGGCATGCTCGCGGTCTGTGCTCGTCTTCTTCCCCGCATTCATCGTCTTGGTCGTCGCAGTCGTTATCATGGTGTCGTAGTTGTAGTCGTCGACGGTGCAGTTCAACAGCTCGAAGAAGACGACTTCGATACTGATTGTGATGATTTAACTAATCATCACGCCGAATTTCGCTGCTTTGCACCATTCAGTACTGTCCACGTCGTGTCGCGCCATTTCCTTTCCTAACTCTGATCTCGGAATCCTCCAGACCCCACACATCTGGATCATTTATCCAAGTTAGAGTCCCCTTGTGGGTCCTTTTATAAGGGTGCCGGACTATCCGTGGATCCTAGAAAAGGCCCTCATGTAGAGAACTACCCACATCAGGCCCACAACCCAATGTAAAACACATTGATCCTGCATTTCTGCACAGGCAGAGCTGCCTTTCCAGGACCGGCTCTGGAACATGATCAAGGTGAGAGGCTTTACCCGGAACCCTGAACCTTCATCCCTAGACCCTAAACCCTGAATCCTAAACCCCAAACCCTGAACCCAAGTGAACCCGAAAAGTCGGAAACCTAAACCCGGAGCCCTGAACCCTAAACCGTGAACCCCGAGTGCAGATCTTCGAGGTCGCGGAGTTAGGGCAAGTGCTGCGCTGCAGAGAACATCGTGATAATTGTACAGAGATGTAGCAGTTGTGACTAAGTAACAAGAACATAGGGTAAGGTAAGGTAATGCAATGTTGTGTGTTGTAGTGGAATGTACTGTGTTGCATTGCATTGCATTGTGTTGTATTTTACAGTATGGTATGGTTGGGTATGGTAGGGTATGGTGATGTACGGCATGGTATGTACCTATGTATTGTGCACATATACATACATATATATATATATGTATGTGCATATATGTATATATACATACATACACATGTATATATACGCACCTATATAAGGGTATGTTTGATAAGCGTTTAGCATCTTTGGCTTGTTCTTTTTGACTTGTTGTGTAGTACTGAAATGGAAGACCAAGAAGGATTTGCCAGGATAAGAGCACCTTTAATATTGAAGCTAAGTATATACAGAAACAGCCCTTTTCACACTTATACGGATGATGTCCATGTCCCCCCACCCACCCTTCGGGCCGGACTGGTGTTGGTGGGCGGGCCCCCCATACCCCAAACTCCCAATAAATACTCAACCCGAAACTCTAAAACCCTGAACACTAAACCAATAACACCTTCGGTTTAGGGTTTAGGGATTAGCATTGCAGGCGCAGCCTGCCTTTGCAAGCAGCGGAGCCGTCTTGCCAGCAGATGCCGACACCTGGCCGCCAGAGGCCTTGAGGAGGCGACGGAACGGGGAGACGGCTCTCAATTTAGGGTTTTTTGGTTTAGGGTTTAGGGTACCCTAAATCCTAAACCCTAAACCCTAAACCCTATAAGGCTTTGCGCTAGCAAGAGTGGTAGCAAGGAGCGACAATAAGACTAGCTGAAGCCGGTTGGGATCATGTCCTCAGTCTTCTGTCAGCGTCATGGGCAAGAACTAACACCCTAAAAACTTAAGGACTCATATATTAGGCCCAAAGCCCATACCATTGAAGGCTTTTGGGCTATTTTGATCCCTCCCCAGGTTGAACTCTGGAGCCTCGCAGCATGGAAGAGGGGTTTTGGGGGAGGGAGGGCAATGGTTCTGGGGCTCTTTTTAGGGTTTAGGGTTTAGGGGTTTAGGGTTTAGGGTTTTTTCCTCAAGCAGCCGCCGAACCTTGAGTGCGGCCCCACACTTCGCAGGAAGGTTGTTCAGAAATTGGGTCCCTCAGCTGTCCAGCTGTGTCTATCACCATGCTTCCTGTAGGAGTTTTTCTAGCCCAGGGTCTCGGAAAACTAAGCCCAGCCCGCTCCCGTATTTCTCGTAGCACTCCATGGGTGTCCGCCGGGCTTGAGCTGGCCCAAAAGCAGACAGCCTACTGGGTTTAGGGTTGGAGGGTTTAGGGTTTGTAGACTACTGTATACCCAGAGCCCCTAAACCCTGAACCGTAGCGGTCACCGACCGAAGGTTTGTAGCCTCGGGCGGCTTTCTGATTCCAGAAGGCCGCACCAAGGAGCCAAGCTGCAGGAGGGGAGAGAGTGAGAGCGGAGTTTTATGTTTGTTTTGTGTGTGTGTGTGTGTGCAATCTTTTTCGATGTTTAAGGTCACACTGAAGCATCTTTTTCAGCGCGTTTGATGTTCGAACAACAAACCCTAAGCTTTCCACTGAACCCTCAGCCCCAGTCTTACGGTACTGAGGCCGTAGTTTGGAAAGGATGAAGCTGGCCCCTTCAGTCTAGCGATTCTTGCCGGTGAATTCTTGGGAGTTTGGGTATAGAGTTTGGAGATTCGGAACTGTTTACTAGGAGTTGAGGGCTTGGAGGTTTAAGGTTTACAGGGGTTTGGGGTTTTTAGGATTTTGGTGTTCTGGGGTTTTGTGGGGGTTGCATGCAAGTCGTGCCAAGTCCTTAGCTCCAGGCACCGAGCGCTTGTCTAAGAAGGAGTCTCGCTTAGATGTCCCCCTTCTGGTGGGAGCATCCTAAAACGCTAGGCCGCTAGGCCCTAAACACCCAAACCCTCGCCCTAGCCCTAGACCCCTCAAGCCCCAAGCTTTCCCTAAGCCCCAAACCCCCAAAAACCCTCAACCCTCAACCCCTAGGCCACAAAAACCTTAACCCATAAAGCCTAAACCCTAAAAACGCTAAACCCTAAAGAATCCTAAACTCTAAAACCCAAAGCGCGAAGCCGTGCAGGACGACAATTCTCAGCGAGTGGATGGCAATGCCCATTCCATCTCAAGGCAGCATCTCGATTTTTGTTGGTTACATTAGTTTCCTATTATAGGATCCTATATAACTATATAGCAGGTTGCCCCCCCTCCCAACAAAGTACTACGTTCTAGGGTGTTTCGGCAGTGACATAAGCCGAACTGTGTAGTGTTTCGACTACATTCCAGAACTGGGCTCCCGGCTCACTGTTGCCGCAGTAACCCTTAGTGACAGATCCCTTCAAGCAACCCGAAAACTTTAAAACCCCGAAACCCTAAAACCCCTAAACCCTGAACCCCCAACCCCCTAAACCCTAAACCCCCTAAACTCTAAACCCCCAAACCCTAAACCCTAAAACCCTACGCCTCAAGCCGCTTTAAGCTGCGAGGCGTTGTGGGGATCGAAGGCGACGCTCCCAGGGTAATCTGGATGTACTGGGCCGGGGGCCTGGAGGTGAGGGTTTCGGGTTTAGGTGAGCCAGAACCTGAAGAGTGTTGGGGCCCATGATACTATAAGTATAATAAAGAACCCCCAAAAAGAAAGAATGGGTAACTATTTCTGGGATTGAACAAGAGTCATGTTGTAGTGTTTATGTTTAGACTTTCATGGTTGTTTTTGTATACGAGTTCAATTGGGCTTTGCAGAGGTTCGTGTGGTCGTATAAGGTTCTACAAGATCCGGAAAAGGATTCGATAAGGGTGTAGATACATTCAAAGGTTCATGAGAGCTATTTAAGGTTCTACAGAGTTACATTATCCTTAGCATAAATCAACTATCATTCTGATTGAAGGCTTGCAGCTGTTACGCTGATGCGTTTGTCTCAGAAACGAAACGAGGCAAGATGGTAGCGTAATGCAGGCAGTGGGGAGACAGGCTTGTCGTCATCGCATTCGTCCCGATGTCGCGGCACTACCAGCGGCCCCGAACCCTCCCCCCGGCACACCTTATGCCGTCTGTATTCATGCCAGGTGAAGGCAGCACTAGCTAAAAACTGAAAGACCTGAAGACCAACGTCATAGATCCAAAGTCTCAAGGACTAGATTACACCAACCAGACCTAAAGCCCCCCAAGCTCCGACAGCCTCAAACCTTGTGCCCAAATCCTCAACAGCCCCGGAAAGCCCAAATTCCAAGCAGCCCTAAGCCCAGCTATCCTAACCTCAAGGCTCGTATGCGTTCTTCTTGGGTGAGAACTCTAAACCCCAATCGCCAAAGCCTCAAGCCTGAACCCTAAGCCCTGAACCCACATCCCTCTACTAATCCCAAACCCCAGTCCCTAAACCCTAAACACTAAACCCAAGTCCTACAAATCCTAAACTAAAAGCCGAAACCCTGAACCCAAATCCTTAAAAAAACGTAAGCCTTGGCTTCAAAGGCCCAGGGCGCCAGCAACCTGGACGGGTTCAGGCCGGCTTGGGCCGATTCGGAATCTGCGGTCCGGCTTTAATGAAGGTTTTGGGTGTATATGATTATACTACACGGCTTTAATAAATGATTTTGGTGTATAATACTATACTATACGGCGTTCATAAAGCTGTTTGGGGTATATTATGCTGACTATTACTACAAAAATGAACCCTCACCATGCTAATGATAGTTATTTAGGCCCCTATCTTATTCCACCAAAGGGGAAACCCTGGGAGTGGCCTTTTCCAGGACTTTAGAGTTGGATGTCGACATTGTATATGGGCTTGCTTGCTTTAAAGTAAAAGCCAGAAAGTTGGAATATGATTATCCTAAACCCTTTATGGTAAGTTATAGGGTATCCTACCAAGAAACCATATTCCAACTTTCTGGAGTTCCCTGTAATAATTTCCAAGATTGCTCCGCAGGCTAATTATTGCACCCGTACGCTGCTGTAATGCACACAAAAGTTCTCTGCTGAGTATCGAGGCGGTCTGATTTATTGGTTAGCCATAATATCCCCGTCTAGTTCCAGCATCAACATGTTACAATATGTCCGAAAACCCTAGGCTGCCTCCTAAGGCCCCCATTTCATTAATGAGTTTCTGCAGGGTTTGTGAATTTTGGTCGGGTTTCTGTCGGGTTTGTGCTGGGGTCTTCTAGGTCTACTATGTAGGGTCTGTGCAGGATGAGTTTAAGGCTCACCTCCGCGTTGTAAGGAGCCTTGGATACTGCACCGCTAGTATGAAGGACATGCCTTGGGTACAGCCCCCACTCAGTAATAGTTGAATAATATTCATAATATAGATATATTAGGACCTTAATATAGTAGCCCTATTATAGACTCTTACTGTAAGGGGGCAGTACCGAAGACATGCCCCCGTTGCTAGTCGGGATCTTGGGTTCAAGATGCAGGCTTCGGGGACTCCGAGGAATTTTCGGCTTCGGCACTTTGGGTACCCATATCGTACATATAATCACAGTTAGACTTTGGCCTTCAAATACTCCCTATTAGCTGGGTGCATTGGGGCCGAAGGATAGACTATTTTGGGTACATGGACCCTTAGGGTTAGGGTAGAGGTGGTTGGCGAGGTCTCGGTCCCCACCTCTCGCCAGAGGCGGCTCTGCGTCCACACCTGGATCGTCCAAAACCCTGGATGGCAGGCGGCTTTCCAGGATTATGAGCAGTCTGATTCCCATGAGGAATACCGAACCCTAAATCTCGCACAAAACACCCCTAAATTCCAAACCCTAAACTCGCTACAACGTCTCGACAGTGCTGCGGCCATGAGCAGGTGATCGTTCTGGATGCGACGTCCGTGAAGGGCTACATAGAGGAAGCGGACCTCCCACACTGCTACGAGGCTTGAGCGTGCGTTGTGGCCTCTTTGCGGTTTTTCAGTTCGAGAAGGAAGGAGTGATGTTGTGAAGATTTCATCTTGGCAGCCATCGGCAGTTCATTCATTCACTCACACGCTCAATCAGTCCAGCAAGCAGGCAATCAATCAATGAAACACTTATTCCTTCCTTCCTTCATTCACTCGGTAGTTTATGGAAGTGTCGTGCTTCTTTTTTCGAGTTGCCTACAGTTAGGCTCTAAGAGTCTAGAGGACTTATACTTGCCCGGTCCATTCCCGCCGACTACCAGCAACCCTAGGCCCTAGGGATCTAAGGACTCATATATTAAGGCTTTTGGGCCCAAAGGCCATGCAACATAAGGCTTTTGGGCTATTTCGATCCCTAGGGTTTGGCACCGTTACACGCCCTATGGCCCTGATTTGGGCAATGCCAGTGAAAAGCTGGAGCTCTTCCTCTGCTAGTCCCCATGCACCCTACGCCCTGAACTTTCCATGAATCCTGAAACCTTCAACTCTAAGCTTTATAAAGGCTCAAGCCATAAATATAAACCTCAACTCCGAAACCTTCAGCCCCGAACCGGAGACCCTGAACGCAACCCTAAGCCGGAGCTCAAAGCTTCTTGGAGGAGCTTCCAGCGGCTCAGCAGAGCGACGCACTGCGACTGGCGCTGCTCCAGCGTTACGGCGGCGCCCCCTCCTCAGAGCTGTTTCCCAAGTTGTCCAAGTACCGGTGCAGTCGTCAATATGATGTGTATAGAGATGTGGGCCGCAGAAGTGCGTATCACCATATTTTGGACCAGAGGGCACTTGGGATGAGCTTAGCAGATGACTCAGGTCTATACGGATGTTGCGACCATCTGCCTGCGTCCCCTGGAGGCCCGGACGATCTATCCGATGCAATGGTCATATGGAGGTTTGAACTCATGGTGGTCATCTCAGTTTAGAATCTCGAAACACTACAGTCATACGCTTATATTCAAAATCCTAGTCGCCCTATGGATCCCGAGCAAGTCCCTCAAGAATGCAGTCAACATGCTGGATTTGGTTTGGGTTCAGAGGTTTCTAGAGAAAGGGGTGCTGCCGCTTCGTGGAATAAAGTGCCCCTGCAGGAGTGGATATGGTCTGAAATCACGACCGGGCCGCTGGAGAAGGGTTTAGGCCGGAACTTTTGTTTGGGGTTTCAGTGTCATTTGTGGGTTCCTTCGAGGGTTCTATAGGGATCCTTCTAACGGCTCCTGTTTCTTGCGATCCTTTTAAAGGTTCCTGTCGGACCGTCTTGCGAGATCCTCCACCGCCGGGCGGTAGCTGCGCAGATCGAGACTCCAGGTGCCTGGTATCTGGCGTGCTTCGGCATGGATCCTGGCAGCAGCCGCGAGTATGCCGGAGCCCGAATGGGAGTTTCCGACAGTCAAGGGTACTTTATTTTGGGGTCCGAAAACGGATCCTACGATTTCGAGTCCTGTATTAGGGTCCCCCATTGTCGGAAACTCCCAAATGTCATGAAAGAAGTTAGCTACGAATCGTGCAATTCGTGCTAGGGCAGCCGGAACCAAGAGTCCAGGTTCTACAGAGATCGACTACTCGGGGCCTCGTTTAGTCCATTACGTGGGCGACTGGCAGTGCTACTATACCCATGGGCCCCAAAGTAGTTCCTTTTTGGGGTTCATATATAGAATTCTACTAGGTATTCCCAAAAAGGAACTACTTTGGGGCCTATGGGTATAAACAGCAGATACATGAAAGGCAGCTGGAATGCTCGATAGTGCCCACGAGATCGACATCAATCTGTACACCGAACATAGCACCAGGTGGAGAATTGGTTTCTTGCAGCACGTCGAGGCCATCCACTGAATCTTGGCAGTGTGATATGCCAAATCCTTGCACTTTGGGTTGCCCAGCAGTTCTGCACAGCCCTGACTGGAGAAACCAGGCGATGAGTAATCAAACTAGCCGTATTATAAGAAGCCGAACTAGACGCGATGAAGACGTAACGAGGATGGGAGGATGATGACCACTGTGACTGCATCGGCAATGTTGACAAATGCTAGATGTGAAGAGTCAGCAGAAGTCTGTAGTTGCAACGGTGTGGCAACACAGGGATCTTAGAGTGGAGAGCAAAACGACGTTCTTGTGGTGCTCTTCTGCTACCCTGGACCTCAAGAAGCGCAAAGCACGTATTGCCAGTACTGCACACGACACGGCAAGGACAGCATTATCTAAGTAAGTTACTAATAGCAGCCAAGTTCGCGTACTTACAGCCATACAAAGTGCCTGAGTATCTTGTCTGGGTATTCGGATAGGCTAGGGCCCCGGAAACTGAGAACCCCTCCAGGGCTCTCAGCCCCAGACCTTAAACCCTCACAGCACAGGGTCCTTATGCTGGGATCTTGTCGAAGAAGTCAGTTTTAAGCTACTCTGATAAGATAACCGTATGATACATTGATCCCAAGATTATGGTAGCTCAATTGAGAATAAGATGCCCTAACAAGAACCCAGTAGAGTTTACTATAGCGGCCTAACTAATTACCTATACATTTTTTTGGGGGGTTCCTCATGATACTTACAGTAGAATCGCCTCAGACGCATGTCCGATTCGCCCCGAAACCCTATTCTAATTATTAAGGCCCCTACAACCCTTTAAAGGGCCCCTCCAAAACACCCGCTATATCTTTAAATCCCTTATAGTGCCCTTGTAGTATCCCTGAAGGGAACCCTTTACAACTCAGTAGAGCCCCCATTCTACTCCCGAGGATTCGAGCCTGGCGGGAACTTTACGTCGAGGGCTGGAAGCTGGCGAGGCCAGAAATCGCTTTTGACTAGGGTTTAGGGTTCAGGGGTTTAGGCGTTTAGGGTTTAGGGCTTCTTTGAATCCTTCATGGGCTAGGGACCCAAACGGGTTTAAGGTTCATATACCATATAGGGATTCATAGTATATGGGTATAGGGCCCCTACTTTTAAGGGTCATTTGGTCCTTCAGGAAAAGGACATAAGAATAAGCATGTTATAGGGACATCCCTACCTTGTTGGGTTTCATTATAAGGGGGTTTATTCGTGGTTCTCATGGGCTTTCTTAACGTTGCTTTCGGGCGCAAAAGGGTTAGGGTCTAGAGTTCCTCATAATTAGGCTTCTTAACGAAGCTTTCGGGCGTATAAGGGTTTATGTGCATGTCTATGCCGTGGCAGGACACGACATGACTACCCCACATCCCCGCACCGTGGCTGCAAGAAAAAGGTTTTGGTACTAGAGGACCCTGAAAGGGATCTACCTGCTCAGATTGTCTAGTTCTGCACAAAAATTGTTGTTGGGGCCAAAGGCAAGTCCCACTTCCTCGTCTTCGCTACAGGGACCACCGCTGCTGTTCACTCCGCCTCGTCCTCGTCGCTGGTGTGCTCGATGAGCTTGCAGTCCCCAGTATGTTTGTCACCGAGTTCTATCGTCGGCACATGCTGGTGAGGAGGCTGTGATGCTTGCATAAAATATTGCCTGCCGCATGAATTTGTACCTTATGCCAAGGCTCTTCTGTGATGTTGACCTCTCCCACATCAGCATCGCAGAGCATCGCGACCATGGGCTGAACAGGCTACGACCACACGAGTATCCTCATGCACGATTATTGGTTTGTGCAATGCTTACCAGTGGCAAGACCCTACACACCGAATCCTAAGCCCTAAACCCTGCATTCTAAACCCTAAGCCCTAAACCTAATCTCTCAAAACCCTGAAACACTGAAAGCCTAAACATAAGCCCCTAAGCTCAAACTCCGGTGGCTCTGGATGTATGTATATAGACACATGTATGTGTGCATGTATGTTTGTATCCATAGGTATATGTCTATGTATATGTCCATGTATATGTCTATGTATATGTATGCACAATTAGTTGTGTGTATGTGTCTATGTTGCATATGTATGTATGTATGTACGTACGCAGGGCTGTCTGTCTGTCTGTCTGAATAACTAACCGTCTGTATGTCTGTCTGTCTGTCTGTCTGTCTGTCTGTCTGTCTGTCTGTCTGATGTCTACACATGTCTGTATGCGTGTATGTATGGTATATTATATATTTGATAACAATCATCATAATAGTAATGATAATAATAAGCCCTGACCCTGAACCCTCAGCCCAAATTGAAGACCTGGCGGTCAGCCCAGGATTGGCTTCTCATGCACGTCTGCTTCAAGAAGTTGATTGATGAAGACGAATACCTCAGGCCGGCGGAACAAACTAAGATAGGATGTATAGTCTTCAGTGATTTTTTGGATTTGGTAGTGCTTTGGACTTGAGGATGTTAAGGTTTAGGGTTTAAGGCAATACTATGCGAATAACTAATGATACTGCTCCCTAGAACGATCGTTATGGTATCATATTATCACCAGTAATACTCTTTCGTAGGGCTCCCAACATCGTCTCTTCAGACATATCAGCGTCGCAACACTGATTATGCCTCCGTGGCAAGGCTCGAGTGGCCTCCGCAGGTTTGAGGATCTGCGCCTGTCTTTGTGTTTCTGGGCTTTCGGTTTGTACAAGGCTGACTTTGCAAGAGTTTGGAGCGGGACCGGGAACCTGAACCCCAAATACCCTCGCAGCCCCAATAGCTGTGTTTTTTAATCGGAAGCCGGAAGCCCGTCATCCGGCGAGGCATCTCTGGTCCGAGGAGATCACGCTGCTGAAAGCAGATGTGGGTGCACTCGCGTGGACCTTCTGCTGCATAAGTGCCCCGAACGTTTGAAGGTTTGGCCTTCGTAGCTTGCAGAAGGAGATATCGCGAGAAAGCCCCAAACCTTACACTCTAAACCCCAAACCCCTAGTCGAAGACGATGGTTGATTAAGTTCTATCGCCTTGCCAGTGTCAACTGCCAGGCCACCACTACCGCCATCGCTAAGCCCCGGTGATGATGACGATTTAGGGGTTAGAGTTTAGGGTTTAGGGGTTTAGGGTCTAGGGTGCCGCATTGAAAGCACGGCCGTTACCGCAGCTTTGTTTTCTCTTCAACCGGAATCCCCGGAACCCTAGACCGTAGAAGCCCTGAAGTGTCGAAGCCCCAAGGCCTTCAACTCAGGGCCTACAATCTCTCACTAAATGGGGGTTTCCGAAAATTAGCGGTACCATTGGGGTCCTTATAATAAGGATCCTGCTATTTGGGGTACTATGTTAGGGTCCCCCGAAACTCCGAAAGCCTTCAAATCCAAACTTCACGCGCTCATAAGGCATGACCTGGAGGTCCCGCTTGGGGTTCCCTTCTAGGGTCCTGATCGTTATGAGCAAGAAAGAAAAAGGGCTTTTCAGGTATTGAGGGTGTTATAGGGTTTCGGCTTTTCAGCGGCTTGGGGTATATGTATATATATATATATGTAGAGAGAGAGAGAGAGAGAGAGAGAGAGAGAGGGTTCAGAGTTTAAGGTAAGTGTTAGAGGCTTTCAGGTCGGAATAATGCGTTGGGACAGCTCCCTGAAGTTTGCACATGTGCCACCGTTGCAGATTTTATTCGACGCAAGGAGAGCTGAGGCAGTCAGGTTTTTGTAGAGATTTACCCTAAACCCATCTAAGGATGGCTGATGTTGATGCAAGCTGCCCAGAGGACCTTGCATTCCGACTTATCGTGGTTTATAAGGGCTGATCAACTTCAGCATCCGCTGCAGACCACGTCTCTAAGTCGTGAGCTCTGACTGCTCCCACCGCAAAAAGGGTACGCATGGGCACGCACGCACACAAGCAATGTTGTTTTTCGATCGCGGCGGGGTGCGCCCTAAACCCAAAAGACGGCCCGAAACCCTGAACCCCTCCTGATCTGGCACTGACAGTTCTACAGGACTGCCGTATCGTGCCGGAGTCATTGGTTTAAAATGGTTTAAAGTTTAAAGAGAGGCGAGTGCGTGTCCTGTAAGCCGGAGGGTGGCGGGGGAGGGATGATGGATTGAATCTGGGTACTGGATGTGATGGTGGATCACGCCTTTTGCCCCTTGCCCACACTAGCTTCAAAAACCCTAAACCCTGAACCCTAAACCCCTAAACCCCTAAACCCTAAGCCACTAAACCAATACACCATCCTCGGTCGGAAAAGAGGGCGAATCAACCTTAAACCCTAAACCCTAAACCCTAAACCTTAAACCCTAAACCCTAAACCTTAAACCCTAAACCCTAAACCCTAAACGCCACAACTGTCAACCTTAAACTCCTTAGACCTACGCGAGGCGCGGCATCGCAGCTACACAGCCCCAACGGTCCCACCATCCCAAAGGGTCCCTAAGTACCTACATAGTAGAATGTAGGGTTTTATATTAGGAATTACTATTATGATATTGGGAGGTAGTTATTCCCCATACCAATACCTCGGACCCTCTGGGAATTCAAAACCTCAAACCGAATCGCAGTCCAGGACTCCGTGCGCCGCTGGATTTTCAGCCAGGACCTCGAATGGTCGCAGGCACGGAGAGATTTGGGAACGATGGGGTTTTACTTATCCCAACCCTGTAGCAGGATCTAGGAGCGATTGAAATTGAGGGACGCCAAGTTGCGGATCAAGCAAGGCCACGTCGAGAGAGTGCTATTCCACCCCAAGTCCTCTTCCTGGCCAGGCGCAGCTGGATGCAGATGCTTGGCCTTTTGTCGTCCCTAAGCCCTAGACCGTAAACCTAATGGAAAACCCTGACTGAAAGTCTGAAAGAAGCTATAGTAAGCCACGCGTGGAGTAATTACCCGACAAGTGTCCCTTGTAGCAACACTTGTCGAACCCCTTGGGAGTAGAGTAGGTATCCAAGAACCCTTTCGGAGCACTATAACCACTATACATACATACATACCTACATACATACATATATATATATATATATATATATATCCATCCCTAAAGTCAACTAACCTCGAATTCCCTTGTATACTGGACAAGTAAGACCCTTCAGTGCTGCTTTTCCTTGCGAGATACCTTTCCAAGGCTCCGATGTTGAAGTTCGTTGGAGATGCCGCGCAGGCCAAGGGAGGCTTTAAGGTTTGGGAGTTATAGGGCTTAGGGTTTACCTACGCTTTGGGGGTAAGAGGTTTCGGGTTTCGGGTTCGGGTGTTAGGGGATAAACCCCAAGGGTCCAAGTATCATTATGGTATATACTTAGACCCTCAAAATACCATATAAGTATATACCATCAAGGTACTTGGACCCTTTGGGAAAGTTGCCTTTTGGGCTTTGGGATTCTTGTGGTCCTGGATGCCTCGCGGTTTGGGGTGTAGGACCACAGGCTTCCTAAGAAAGGCTGCATGATCCCAAAAACTTTAGGGTTATAAGGTGTAAAGGGGGTTTAGATTTAGGGTTTAGTTTAGGGTTCTTAGGCACTCTTAGGATAGAGGGTTTAGGTTTAGGGACTCCAAGAATGCATATGAATAGTACATACTTCGGGGTCTCGAGCCCATATGCGCGAGGAGGAGCCTGAGGGGATGGAGCTGTCTGTGAACTGATAAAACTCGGAACAGCTCCCGCCCCTTTAAAACAATCTGACAGAGCCTGGCACCTTGACCCCGAGCCTGATCAATCCGGACCCCCAAAAGGCTTGCAGACATGCCTGAATCTCAATTCCTACATCCGAAGAAAGCTATCCGAAGAATCTCGCCTGTGTATATCCTGAACCAGTCCTGAACCCTACGCTTCCACCTTCGCCCTAAACTACAGAAGCTGTCAGTGGGGGGATGCCTTGGCAGGCATTGCAGTGGCAGCCGCAGGAGACGCTCACGGAGCAAGACAACTGCCTCACCCAGGTTCGTCTCTCCAGAAGGGTTTAGGGACTATAGGTCAACACTTGCAGCAGTGTAGGGATTGGGGCATCTCTGTTTTCTGAGTCGATGGTGGTTCATGGTAGTGATATTTACATCGTTCTGGTTACCTCTTCATCGACAACGGTGGGTTGATTGCTCGGGCTTCTCCGCGATCAGCTGACTGTTAGAATGTTCGCGTGGTTAGGGCTGTGACTGCTGGTGCAGTTTGCGTACATGTAGTGGCCGGAACCAATACCAATATTATTCCCAGGGTTCCTTGTTCTCGTCATAGTATAGTGTCCCGCAACCTGGACCGCCCAACTACCCTCTAACATACCCTAAATACCCACTAGTAAGGACCATAAGGGCTTTATTAAAGGGTACTTGGGGGGTCTTGGAAAACCCTGTTCTAATTAGAAAGGCCGGAATATATTCCCTGTCTTGGCGTTTCAAGAATGCCTTGGTCGCGGTTACAGTTTGGATACTACCCCCACTCAGTAACAGCTGCGTATGTACAATGTATGTATATATATATATATATATATATACATTTATACAATATAATCTACTAAACACACAAGGTCCTTATTATTGTAGCCCCATTGCCCTAAACCCCTAAACCCTAAACCTCATAAACTCCTTAACCCTAAACCCTTAAACCCTAAACCCTAAACAGTACCCAAGCTCTGCGAAGGGAGTCAAAGGTGCATTACACTCAAAAACCTGATAGGGGCCACGAACCCGAATGCAGACACGCGTAACGCATATATCGCATCCCCTATAGGGCCTTTCTCTGACTGTTTAAAAGAAACCTAGCCAGTGCGATGAAAATGAGAAAAAAGAAAAAAAGAAACAGATATCGCATCCCCTCAGGAAAATAGCCGGAGAAGGAATCAGGGCAGCACGAGAGTCGTATCACCACGTTTGCACGGTGATCATGCAACAATGAGCGAACTACTCGAGTTGCTTCCGCAGTTCGTCTTCGTTGTGGAATAGATTGGATTCACGAAGGCGTGGTTTTGACTGTACGCAGCGTTCAAGTGGCTGCTGTAGAGTGACTGGCTTGTGCCGCCCGGTGATTCGCCCATCGCCGGCATGGCTTATGATACAAGGTCATGTTTGTCATGATGTTTTGTTCGCTTTATAAAAATTACATGGATCCCGTGAGTGTACTGCATCGCCGGTATGGCTGATGGTACAAGGTCATGTTTGTCATGATGTTTTGTTATATTTGAAAAATAAAAAACAAAAAGAAAAGACAAAAAAGATCATGACAAATCAGCATGACAAACGTGACCTTGTATCATCAGCCATGCCGGCGATGCAGTACACTCACGGGATCCATGTAAATTCTAATTTTCGTGCATGGCGTGCAATCGTTGTGATACGATTCTCGTGCTGCCCTGATTCCTTCCCCGGGGTATTTCTGTAGGGGAGGCGGGAACGCGCCTCCTGTGCAGTTCCCCCTTAGCTTGACGGATTCAGAACGCAGGCGGGACGCGCCTCCTGTGGAGTTCCACCTTAGCTTGGCAGATTCAGAACGCAGTCGGAACGCGCCTCCTGTGGAGTTTTCTCCTTAGCTTGGCGGCTTCAGAACGCAGTCGGGACGCGCGGGCGGGACGCGCCTCCTGTGGAGTTCCCCCTTAGCGCTCCTGTGCAGTTTCCCCTTAGCTTGGCGGATTCAGAACGCAGTTGGGACAGTGAAGTTCCCCCTTAGCTTGGCGGATTCGGAACGCAGTCGGGACGCGCCTCCTGTGGAGTTTCCCCGTAGCTTGGCGGATTCAGAACTCGGGACGCGCGTTCTGTGGGGTTTCCCCTATATAGCTTGGCGGATTGAGAACGCAGTCGGGACGCGCCTCCGCCTCCTGTGGAGTTTCTCCTTAGCTTGGCGGATTCAGAACGCAGTCGGGACGCGCGGGCGGGACGCGCCTCCTGTGGAGTTCCCCCTTTGCTCAGCGTTTCCCCTTAGCTTGGCGGATTCAGAACGCAGTCGGGACGCGCGTTCTGTGGGGTTTCCCCTTAACAGCGCTGTGCGACACACCTCGCGTCACACGCGAACGCTTGCGAACGCTTTGCGGACGCTTCCCTGACCCTGCTGTTTACCTAATTTTAGGTGGCGAGCAATTTACTAAACAAAGCTTGGTTTACACTTCAAATTTACGAAAAAATTTACGTAAAAAAAAAGTGTAAATTAATTTACTTTGTATAGTAAAAAATTTACACTGCAATGTAAATTTTTTTACACTGCAAAATACATGTTTTTAGGTTACACATTCCCGAATTTGAAGAAGTGAAATGCAAGCTAATTTTGGTTGGTTTTGTTTCTTTTATCATGGTTCTGCTTGTTGATTGCATGAGATTTTCCTGCGACTGTACAGTGCGGCATGGTCAGGTGTGAAGATAAAATTATGAGAATTGTGTTGCAAGCATACTTGTTAAGCCATGGTTTTCCATGTTGAAATCGCAGCTCGGTTTGATTCTGTGCTGGGTCGAGCCGGCGGATTGCTTGCGATGTGTGCTTTTTACATGCGAGAAATCGGTACATGTACATTTGCGAGAGTCATCACAATATAGTTTATACCTGCGAGGAGTCCACCTTTACCTGTGCGAGACTCTTGTAGGTTACATGCGAGAGATCTACTTATATATATATATATATACTTTTCTGAGATCCGAGAGTGAGAAAAATTTTCGGACGTTGCAGCTGTGTGTTTGGTCCAGACGAGACCCAGAGGTAAGTGCGAGGCTGGATGGAGACAGAGACAAATGCATTCCATTTTTTTGAGAAATCATAAATCCTATACATACACAGTATATACAGTCTTGCGAGCATGGCTTCCTTAGCAGCTGCAGCTTCGGTCAAGCTGGCGGAGGGCGCTTCCGCTGCAACGGGCAAAAATGCCAAGGACCGAGTGGTTGCCGATCCGCTTATTACAGCAACGGAGCTGGCGAAGGTGGTGTTGGGCTTTCTCGAGTTCAAGAAGACGAAGGACCTGTGGCCTTTACTGTGCCCCCCTCCGGGCGGGCCAATAAGCTACACTTGGCACACTGCCGTCCACGGTCCGTGGTTGGCAAAGACAGCTGGGCTGCTGTTTGACCTTCTTCGCCTCGCCCCGAACACGAAGTTGTTGTCGCAGCGGGTTACCCGAAGCTTTTGGATCCTTCACGAGCAAAAGAACCTGCAGCTCGAAGGCCACAAAGACTACAAGGCAGAGGACCTTGTGGACAAGATGGACACCGCCATCCGTCTTCTTCTTAGCCACCTCCGTGCGATGAAGCAGAAGGAGAGCTTCAAGCGGAAAGTCTACAGGTCCCTGTCGCACGAGGATCAAGTGTGCCGTGGCTGCACATATGTCTTTCGTGTTTTTTCGCTGTATATATATAATTCGTGTGACGGAAGAAAGAAAAGTGTTGCAAACTTTTTTATCTAAGTCTGTGCAAACATACAATCAGGAAGCTTGACCTTTGCCTGGAAAGGGTGCAGGTGCAGGAGTTTGCCCCGAAGCCTCTTGATTCCCCCAGCACGGCCCTTGTTCCCGTGAAGGAGGATGAGAAGCCTGTTCCCTTTCGGTGTGACGAGAAGCCTACTCCTTTGCAGGATGCTGAGTTCCCGGAGTTGCCGGAAATCTTTAAGAACAGCAGCCCGACCAAGTTTCCGGACACCTTGAAGAGCAGCGAGCCGAAGAAGTTTGCGGAGAAGTTTGTGCACATCCATAAGAGCAGCAAGCCGAAGAAGATCGTTATGAAGAAGGGCACCCTGAAGAAGAAGGCCACAAAGGCAAAGAACAAAAAGGCAGGAAAGGCAAAGATCAAGACTGGTGCCGGGGCTGAGCCGGCCAAGGATGTGGAAGTGATCTCTTCCACGGATGAGTGCGACTTGGACATCCTCAAAAATGCCATGGCTTTCATGCCGCCGGTGTCTGTGGCTGTGGCCAAAAAGAAGGGTGCTTCGAAGCCCAAAGCCACCGGCAAGCCGAAAGAGAAGAGCCCCAAGCCCAAAGCCACAGCGAAGGCGAAGTCGGCGGCGAAGACGAAGGTGGCGAAGCTGGCGGCGAAGCCGAAGCCGGCGGCGGCGACTTCGCCGTCTAACAAATGGCTGTCCGCCGAAAAGTACGGATCTTGCAAGGTAGAGTTCTACTCTGAGAAATCCTACATCCGCAACTACGATAACGGCGGCAAGCTGAGGAGCATCATTTCCAGTTGCTGTCCGAAGCATCATGAGGTGATCGAGAAGATGATTCCCTACGTCGAGCAGGGCATCCCGCTCTTGGAGCTCTACAAGCTGCGAAAGGACGTCATGAAGTCGCTGGGGGTTTGAAAACCAAAATGTGTTCAGTGCGGGATGTGATGTGCACCCTGGGTTTTCTGAACTTTGTAGACTATATAACAATCTGAGTTTCAAGCATATATATGTTGTATATAAACGTGGTTTGTTTTCCCACAAATCTGAGAAAACCCATGGGTGCTAGTCACGGTGTGTTTCTATATGTCTTTCGTTTACATGTAGAGCACTACATCTGCCACAATGCCATTTAGCATAATGCATCTTTGGCCCTTTTAGTGAGAAGCACAAAAAGGGTGAACCTTCCGGCAGCAGAGGGGCAATGACTGCGAGAAAAAATGTTTCTTGCATTTGTGTGTGTGTGTGAGGTTGAGTGCTTCCTGTTCTGTGTGATATATGTATTTGATCCCTATCATATACTGTATATATAAGCCTTTGTAACCCCGAAACCACCAATAGCCTAAAGCCTCAAAGCAGGTTTACTTGCGACGGTGATTTTTGTATATGTACTTGCGATGAGTTCTGCTTTTTACCTGTGCGAGTGTTTCCTTTTACATGCGATGTGAGGAGCTTTGTATATTACTTGCGAGATTTTCCTTGTGTGCACCTTTACATGCGATGGGGAGCTTTGTATATTACTTGCGAGATTTTCCTTGTGTGCACCTTTACATGCGATGGGGAGCTTTGTGTTACTTGCGAGATTTTCCTTGTGCAGCTTTAC